TCTATAATCCATCATATATATATACCACTCTTTTCTCTACATATCGAAAATAAATAAATATATATATATTTAAGACGAATGAGTAAGAGAATCCAATGACAAATAATTAATTGCGCACAGTTTGATGGTTTGACGAAGGATGGAAGGTCCTTACAGAGTGTACATATATGTGTGTGTGTGGTGGTCCTGTATCCATTTATAAACGTCTCACAAATATGTCTGATGTGGCCATAGAACGAGTGCTATATCGAGCAACTCGGCCCGGCCACCAATTAACTTGGGCGTATTGTGTAAATAATGTGTCGGAACATGGTTACACATTCGAGCCGGCCATAGACACGTCGTTGGCATCGTCATCTCACTGCCTCGAGGAGGATACAGGATACGAACGGAGACGCCATCGCTTTAACAGGACTAACAGGACTACCAGCTCATCCTACGGCCGCAAGCTGCGATACGATTTTGATTGCACTCGGATCTGCTCTAATTGAAGACCAGACAAGATGGGGCTGTTGACATTGATCCGATCCAACCCACTCTGGCACTTGACTACCGCCTCCCGAAAAAAGCCCCCTCCCTGCTAGTCCTGTTGAATGTTGCTCCTTGGATCCTGGCTGAATGCTGATGCCCCTCGATTTTGCTGCCTGCTTGCTGGTAATTGCCATCAAATCGAGGGATAAAAAGCCAAAAAGAAAAAGGCTACACAACGCTACACTGAGAGAAACCAGGGTTTTTAAGTAAAAGGATGTTATTTTTTAAATATAAAGTCTACTTGATAAAGTCTACTTGAATAATAAAGTTTCATAGGTAATGGGTATAATTTATTCAAAAAGTTATTTTTAAACTTTTTGTTGAGGTGCCATGCTTTCGTCACTAATCTTTTGTAAATAATGTACATATATGTATAAGGTGTAATCTTACATTTTAAGATATGAAATGTGCATTATATAGTTATTTTACTTACAATTAGACGCTTTTCATAGATTTTTTTTTTTTAATCAAGTTTGGAAATAAATTGGGAAACAAATGATTCAAGAATTTATAAGCTTTCGTCACTAATTTTTTGTCAATCATTTATTTTGAAAATTATATTATATGGTTATATTATATATAATTACACCCCCCCCTTTTGTTTTTCTTTTAGAACGCATTTTTTTAAAGAAATTATTTGAGTTTTTATGATGCCTTCGTCACTTATCTTTTGTTAATAAAATGAGGAGAAAAGTATATAGTCAAAAATTTAGTTGATTGACTATAGTATTTAGTATTTTATGATTCTACCAATAAATTTTTCGATATTTTTAAGCGATTTCGTCACTAATCTATTATTATTAAAATATTTGGACAATTGGGTGGAAAGTAAAAAAGGTAATGTTATTGGTTTATAAAAATAGGTGCCAAAATAGGTGTTATATAATAAAATAATTAGAATTATTTATATTTTCTCTTAAAATATATTTTTAGCTTGGAAATATTATAACATATGCACTCCTTTCGTCACTTATCTATACTATAAATAAACTACAAGTAATTTCGTAGAAATTCATTGAAAAATGAACATTAAATTAAAGAATAACGATTTTGTGAGAAACAATTTCCCTAATTAATGTAAATTACACCATAAAAAAAATAAAAAATAATACGAAAGAGTTCCTGGAAAACTTAATAATTTGAAAAGCGAAACTACAAAAGGCAGCTTCCCAGAAGCCGGCAAGGCTATAGGCTGTGAATAAATTCCCGGAATGAGGCTTCCACGAATGCACTTTGTTTCTACTCTGATTTCTTGCAGTGTAAGATGAAGCCAAGTGGTGTCCTTCTGACTTGTGTGCCATGCATGTGACGGCAGCTCAGCAGGATATTTTGTAAATCATTAGTCAACAAAATGCTCGCCTTCTTGCTGTGCGTGTGTGTCAGTGTGGGTATCCTTCTTGGCGACGCCATTATTCTCTTGTTGCCCTCATTTCCGAGCAGGCCACCTCTCTATTCCCCCCTTAACCACTATAACCGTACGACCGTATCTATATCCTTAGACATTCCTGGCCTGATGAGATGCGCCGCCTGCGCAAGATTGCCCGAGCCGGAGAGCTGCCACTGCCACTGCCACAGAGTGCAAGTCTGGCACCGATGTCATCAGCATTACGAGTGCCTCAAATGGTGTCTACAAAATGATAGCCCACTGACCCACCCACCTAACCACCTAACCACAGGCCACATTAAACCACCTATGTATGCCCGGCCCAGTCGCCCGTCTAAAGACCTAAACCATCTAATCTCCTTAGAAACCCACTCACTTGCCACAATCGATCGGGCATTTTGCAAATTAAAACGGATCGGTTAGGTAGTTAGGGATGTTCTTAAGAGATTAATTATTAAATAATTAAAAAACTAAGTTTTTAAGGTAACAAATTTAAAGAAAATCTTTTACATATTCCATGATATACATAGATAGAGAGATAAGTAGAGATAATTATTTAGAGATACTTATATTAGAGAAATTATATAGAGATAAGCTACCAAATTGCTTAAATAAAAGTTTAAAAATACTATAAAATATATAAAAAATATACGATAATATATTGTTTTCTAAAAACATTTTAAAAACAAAACATTTTTGAATAAAAAACCCCTCTTTAAAGGACTCTTTCTTGAAGGCTTTTATTCTTCCCTTTCTCTAGACCTTTCTCTAATAAAATCTTGACCTTTCCTTCCCTCATAAATATATATCTCATAATATATATATATATATTTAAATAAAAACTAACTTGTACATAAATCTTAAATATATTTAATGCTAAATAACAAAAAAACACCTTAAAAACGTTTTGTAGAAAAATATAACAAAGCAGACAATAACAAAGCATGAACTATACTTGTAGCGAAGAAATTACCTGCTGAGAATTCAGTGACGAGGAAAGTTGGCTCAAATAATGAAAATGGTTAAAGAGGCAACTGAAGGGCTGGAAGGGGCGAAGGGAACACAACAGGGGGGATGAGAAAGAGGTGGCTGAGAAGAGTTTAGGCCAAGTGTGAGTTTTTCCTTGGTTGGTGGCGCGGCTAATGACGCCAACATTAGGCGGACATTTAATGTATGTGCACGTAGGCCAGGTCCATTTCACACACACACTTACTCTTACCTCTTCAAACATACAGAGGTGTCTCCGTAAGAAAGGGGGTTTAAGGATTTTTTTTAAGAAAATTAATATAAATTATAATAAAATTAAAAATAAATATCAAATATACTAAAATTAATTACTAATAATATTTAACATACTTTTAAGCTATTTATTTGGATTTATAAATAGAAGAGACTACGATATCTTTTAATTTCTTTCGTAAGAAAACTTTACCCATCATAAAAAAACTCCTATTTTTTAGAACCCCCTTTATCCCCTCTACGCCACTGTTGCATACGCATGAAAGTCAAGGCAGACAACGTCAGATGCTCGAGCATTACATAAGCGACGCAAAACTGTATGCTACACTTTTTGATGGCCGCCCATCCATCCGTCTGTGTGTGCGTTGTCTGAGTATGAAAGTGTCTGTATGTGTGTGTGTGTTATTTCTGGCCGTGGAAAAATGGTAGAGAGAGAAAGAAGGGTGGGCAGGGGGGGTAAGCTAAAGGACAGTGGTTGAGGGTCGACAAGGATACGCACGGCACGCCACTCAAAAGCCATAAGCCCGGCAAATTAACATGCCCAAATTATGACAAAAGGAAAACAAGGCTAAAACAAAGGCCCCAAAAAGCCCAGGGTGCTGCAAGGGGGCAGGGGGCAAGGGGCAGGGTAGTGGTGGACTTGGTCTCCTGTAGACCGGAAAAGGCAAAAGTGAGATTACAAAAACTTTTCGCTTTTGGCTTTTAATCAAATTCCACAAATACTCTACAGAACTAGGAATATAATTTATTTAAAAATTAAAAAAAAATATATTTTAAATATTAATAATTAATTAAACAATAATTAATATTAATTATAGGTCTAGGCCAGTTTTTGGCCAAAAGGGTCTGGCCGGGGCGCTCCTAGGGTCTGTTCCGCCTCAAGTGCAGATTACTCATCCGCCCTGTTGGCGGCAGCGGTCCGAGTCCCCAAACTCAACCGATTCAGCTTCTGATTCTGATTCTGACTCACCAGCCAGACAATCCAACTACAACCGCACACACCACACACACCACATCCAACTGTCATAATCAGGAATGGCAGCCAAACATCAACGGGAACATAAAGCCAGGATATGGCGGGGTTTTAGGTTTTGGGTTTAAGGGGGGCTAAGGGTTTTCGGAGTTTCAGGAGTTTCTGGGGGGATGATAGCAAGGGGAAGACCCCAAAAAAAGGTACAGGAACCGCAGTCATAGTTTAATATCCATTTAACATGCTCGTGTTGTTGCTTCTGCTTTACACTGAGAAAAATTGGATTCTAAAGATCAAAGTTAAATAATCAAGAAACTAATTTTTAAAGGCTTAGTTCAGAACCTTTTTAAGCTTTTTCCAACAATTTCTCTCAGTGTCTTTCTGTTGTTTTCTGCGTGGGGGCTCTCTGGAAGAATGGGGTGGGAAGATGGGGAGGAAAATTCCCAAAGTGATTATATTAATACAACATGAGCCACAAGTGTGTTGCATACATCGGGGCGTGTCGACTTGAGCCAGAGAATCCATGACAAAACTTTTGCCTGTCGTGGCCTGGCCTGGTCGGTCCTGGCCGGGTCCTGGCCGAGTCCTGCCTTGTGCGTGTGGCATATGAAATATACATAAAGCAACGGGCCAACGAACCAGCTCTAATAATAATAATAAAATAATAAAAACCATAAACAAAACAAAAGTAAAACTTTCCAGCCCCATGCTTAAAAGCTGTGACCAAGAAACTAAAACAATAGTTTCCCATCTTTCCGCCCCAGAAAAGAGATACCAAAACGATACCCAAAACCAGACTTAACTTTCTACCTATTAAGTCGAGTTTAATTATTTAATTGAAGTTGTATAATCTATATCAACTTGTATGAAACTTACCCCTTTTGAAGAGAAAGCTGGGCGCAGGATTTGCGATGAACTGGAAATGAAAAAAAAAGAAATGTCAGAATTTTAGTTTCAAGTCCCGCAGCCACGGCAGGCTTTGGCCTTAATTTTAAAAATAAAAGAAAAGACTAGTTCACAAGTGTGCAGATTGCATTCCGCTTGTAAGCGTATATGTGTGTTGAGTGAAGGTCATCCATGTTGCATCTCCCGGTGGTGCCTCCTCCACACACAGCCAAACTCATACATACATACACCAGGACACACGCCCACACACCCACCAGCAGACAAAGTGAATCAACGCTGTGCCTAATGAACTAAATTTACATTTCTCTGCCTGCCTTTTGGTTCAAGTTTTTAGGACACTGAGAATAATTTTAATGCATTAAGCAGAAGGGAAAAAGGTTTTAAATTCAAGCGAAGAAAAGCCAGATGAACCGAGAATTGAACTATAGATAATGCGGATGAATGAACGTTGAAATAAACCAAAAGATGGACAGACCAATGAATAAATTAATGCAAGTGAGTAAAATAAATGGATAAATATTTTTAAGGGAAGGATGAACTTTCACATGGACCTACTAATGAACTGCTAAATGAACTATCAAATGAATTAACATAAAAATGATTGGCTGAGAAAAGATGGATGGAAAATGAACAGATAAAATGAACATGAAATTTACTAATGTTAAACTTTTAATAAGTTTATGTAAATGTACGGATTTAATGATTCAATGATTACAAATTGTATTGGTCCTCCTCTTAAAACCCTCTCTATATACATATGTACCCTTTACACCCCACAAGTACCGGTTATAAATAATCTAGCATCTCAGTAACTCTGAGCTCAAGACATAATTTATTTAAAAATAAATTATAAAGATATATAGACCCATCAAAAAATTAAATAAACAAATGTAATCTAATGGGCTATTTGTGGTTTATTTTTATATTTTTATGGTTTTTTTTAACTAACCAATAAATGTTAAATAAATTTTATTTGCTGTGTTTTAATCTTTATGCCGTACATTTGTGTTTGGTGTATGCTTTCTGCTCCAGCTGCCAGCCCCCAGAACCCCATTCGCCTTGCCCTTGCCTAATACAAAAAAAATATATATATAAATATATGTTTATATATGTATATATATATATGTATAAAATATATACGAAATGCGGCAAAAACGGAAAAGAACAGAAACTCAGCTGGCGTTCCCTCTTCGCTGTTTATCTCGCTCGCTGTGCACATTAACCTCTTTGTTAATCATTTACAAACAAATGCAAATAAAATAAAATACACCAGAAGCGGCAGTAGCCGAAGCCGAGGCAGCCAGCCCAGGTGAGTAGCTAAAGGTAACCAGAGTGCACTGAGAGAAATGGTTTTTAAATGGAGGAAGGAAATGTACTTATAAGGTATAGAGTTCGAAACAGAAGTATATTTAAAGTTAGAAAATGGAAATATTTTGAATAAAATATAATAATAGATTAATAGTAAATGGTAATATATAGTAGATAAAAATATATATTTAAAAAAAAATTAAAACTAAACCTATTTATAAAAATTATTTTAAAAAAAAGTTATAAAATATATTTAACATAAGAAAGGCCATCTTATAATTTTAAAAATGTATATAAATAATTCAAGACATCAATATAATCCCCTAGAAATTTATAGATTTCTCTCAGTGCATCAACAACAAGCCACGATGACGACAACGGCTATGCAAATAAAAAGGCAGGCAAATGAGCAGCGAAATTGCAAAAAGGGCCAGGCTTCTTGCGGGGGAGGAGCAGGTCTGGGGCTTGAGTTAGACTGGAGCAGGGGGTGGATGGGTGGATGGGTGTAAGGGTGGAAGGATAGCAGGCTAAAAGGAGGGGTAGGCTATAAGGTCTGGGATAAGCTCCGAGAGCTTTAAGGCATACACAAAAATAAGGGGGCAAGCGAAGCAAGCTGGGAGTGAGCCACGCCCACACTGTCGCGGATATTTTACGTGATTTTTCCACCTACCACCCACTATGAACCTCCCCCTACACCGCCCCCCTTTTCATTTAAAAGATCCCCGAAAATCCGGAATTTCAGTTGTGGCCCCGCAGTTGAAAAATTCATCTTGAAACGCTGCGGAATGGCAGCTTTGAATAATTCAGCGAAACTTTTGTGACTCTTTGACTGCAAATTGCATTTTGGCCTGGTCAAAACCAGCGGCATTTTCACCCCGTGTTGACTTTGCGAAAAACTTTTAATCAATGCAGGGGCGCCGACCGGAGAGCCAGAAGAGGGGTGCTATAGTACATGGCTAGCAACGGGCAACGTTCCAATTTCCCAACTGCTTTCATATGCAAAAGATACTCGACTTCCAGCTCGGTCTTGTTCATAATTAGTTTGATGATGTTTGCAGGCAAACCTTTCTCCTTCGTCCTTTCCCCATCCTTTCTCCTTCCATGGCCTCCTTTTACACCCCACCTCCACCCCCCCACCGACCACACACACTTTCTGTCTTTGGCTTAGTGCGTTGCCAAGGCTCGGTAGATTTATACCACCAGACTAATGATATTTTAATTAAAACTATGTAACCCACGACCCCACGCCCCATTTCTTGATATCCAATGCCTTAGAGATGGTAAAAATAACGATTATTTATGATTATTTTTTGTATTAATCACAAACTTAAATAACTATGGGATATTTTATTTAAAAAATTGCTTTTGAAAGGTCTACATACTACAAGATTAAAGTAATCGTTCTTGTCCTCTATAAATTCAACACTTTTTTTAAATCGATAACCCTCGATTGATTTTGATTTTATGATTAAATGCTGTTAAGTTATGTCTTTAATATTTTTCTAGATAAATAACATGCTTAAGGCTTAAGTTTTTGTAATGCTTATAACTATTTTTTTACTATATTTAATATTCTTTTGAAACCTTCAGATCGATATTTTTAATAAAAAAAAGTTATTTTACAATTTGTATGTACTATTTATTTACATTTACCTTTCGCTGACTATCCTTGAAAAAATTAAGTACAAAAGAAAAACTAGACATCTAACTATTGTATCTAAAATATCGATAATTTTGATAAAAGACAGTCCCATAATAGGTACGTAATAATATTGAACATAACCAAAAAAGTCTGAAATATTCAAACTTATGTGCATTTTTATCACTCTTCCTAATTCCTCTAAAGCAATTTGGAATCTTTTACAATCATAACCTTTTATGTTACATATGATATCGATAAATTCGATGAAAGACAGTCTTAAAATAGGTATTTTATAATTTATGTTGCAAATGAAATCGATAAACCCGATAGAAGACAGTCCCATAAAAGTTTCTTTATAATATTGTATTAAACCAACATATACTTAACCGATACGTATTGAACCAATTAATCTTCAATTCTCAAACTTAAAACAACTATGATTATATATGATGATGCACTATGAGAGGTATATCGATAAATTCGATAAAACACGCTCCCAAAACAGGTTACTTAAAATATAGTATTTAAACAATAAAGTCTTAAATACTCAAACCTACATATATTTCCATCCATCTTCCTTTTTGAATATCCTTTAAAAAACCATAACCTTTGATGTTGCACACAAAATCGATAAATTCGATAGAAGACATTTCCTCTCCATTTACATCTCTATTCAGTTTATCAATTGGTCATTCCGTCAGTTAGTCAATCGCTGCGGATTGGCCGGAACACGGTAGCTTTAATAAAATTGTTCACTTTCCCTTCCTGTCAGTGTGTGTGTGTGTGTTAGTGTGTGTGTGTGGTTGGGGCTTGATTCGATTTTCGTTGATTTCCCAGAATTTTCCCACCCCCCCACCTCACAACCTAGCCAGCAAAACATTCTACTTGCCTTCGGGGCCTGGGTTTTGTTGAATTTATTTGCTGGCCTAGCCTCCTTGTTGCGGCGGCAATCTTTGATCAAATCGAAAACGAAAGCAAAAGCCAGCCGGGCCGTAAACGTATCCATGAGATACTTATGGATGGATACCTTGAGATACTTTTCGCCCAACAGCAAAACACAAGAACAACATATACACGCCACTTGTGAATGATGGCAATTATCTAGTAATTGAGACAGGTCAACACCAAAAATAATAAAAGAAATTTCGATTTGAGATTCATCTTCAATTTGAATCGAACTTTAAGCTCTTGAGATACATTTGGGTCAAGCTCGTAGTTGGTGAATGAATATTTTTACAATTTCCGGTTTCTGGCTTAGTGCTTATCTGGCCAGATGATCCCTTAATCCCCCCCAAAGATAAATATCTTCGAGGGCCGCCTTCGAGCTGCAACTGCAACGTTGACAGGCCATCAAAAATGTATCCGAGTATCTTCAGTATCTGTGTATCTGAAAGTGCTTCCGTCTCGTATCTAATCTCCTTTGGCATGTATCTGTCGCCGTTTTGTGTGTCAGGTAATTGCCCGTCCCATCCCGTCCCGTCCTGGCCTGGCCAACAAAAAAAAAAAACCCCCCAACCCCCCTTTTGATATCACAGAGTCCCCGTTAGCATTTATCAGTAACGGTGACGCTGACGTCGACGCTGGAGTTGACGCTGCCACTGACGCTAACGGTGAAGTTGGCCGGGCTGTCAGCGCCATGCCGCCTAACGGTTTATTTGCAAAGCGTTCAAACTGTCAAAATGGCGTGCGGTGCGGCGGGGGGCGGTGTGGCATGGGGCGGTGCGGTGCGCCTTGGCCATAAAAAAACGCTAAAAACCCGGCCAAGCCCAACAAGTCGCGGTTTTTATGCCCTTCCTTCCTTCCGGTGGGCTTCATCGAATTAAATTTTAAAGAAAATAAAAACATTTTTGTTTTCTTTTTCTAGAAGATAAATATAGTTGTTTTTTTATTTACAAGTATTTCTTGAATCTTTTAAGACTTTCTATAATTATTTTAATTTATCCTATTAGCTTTAAAATATTATAAATATTGGTATATTTAAAAAAAAAAACAACATATCCGATAGCCCATTATAATAAGAGCTTCTTTAAATTAGTCATATTTTTTAAGCCCTTTAGAGGGTAATCCCCTTAAAAGAAAAAGTTTTATTTTAAGCCTTTATCCTATAAGCCTATGTTTTAAATTGTTATATTTTTGTAACTTTTAGTTGTTAGTTGGTAATTTATTTTGTTCTTATAGTTTGGAATATATTTTTTAACTTTAATACATATCTCTCATATATCTATTTCATCTATCAATGATATCTTTTATCATTTCTTATAAAAATTAAAAAAAAAAACAATAATACAATTAATTTTTCCTTAGCTTCAACAACCTTCTCTATACAAACCAAACTACCCTCTAAGTGTAGGGTATTCGAAACCAAACCAAAACACAGAACCCAAACCCCAAAACGAGAGAAACAGGAAGAGCAACAGAGGAACTGAAACAGAAACAGGGCAACGACGTCATTGAGTCAATAATGTAATTTTCTCGTTTGATATTTTTCGCTACATACACATACACCAAAAAAAAAAAACAAGGAAATACATACACATATATATATTTACCCAAATATATATGTATTAGCAGGAAAAGCGGAAGAGCGAGTGGGGAAATGAGTTAAAGGCAAGTCATTAAATGTAACCAGAAAGAGCATTTCTCGAAAAAGCCGTTTTTGTAGAGTCACTATTTGAATTAAAGTGGCCAACAAAAGTGGCTATAATGCCCCAGAGGTTATTTCTTAAGATTTGTAAACTTTTTATGAAAGTTTTTAAGCAAAACCTAAAATTTTACATTCTTAAAAACTCCTAGAGCTAAAAAAACGGACGAAATGCAAGCTTGAATAATAATTCCCAACTGGTTATGGCTGTGTGAGTTATAAAAACTGTCTTAAGACTTTTGGGATGTGTATTAAGATTGGTTAAAATATGGAGAAATATGGTTTTTAAAAAGTTTTAAAAAAAGAGTCATTAGTAGTGTTGAAGCTTTCACTGTAAGTCCCAACAGGCTCCATCTATGACAGCTTTAAGAACTACCTCAAGAATGGAGAAAAACCAAAACATATTTCTTAAAAAACCTCATACTTTTCCGGTAGAAAAAAAATTTCAAAAATAGTAGCCATTGGAATATACATTCCATTATGTCAACACCGACATCTCAGCGAAGTAGCTCACACTCGCACGTTGAGACAGTTCAGATTAAATTCCCACCTCACCAAAACACACAATATTTTCGGCAAGTTTAGTTTATTAGAACCAATACTAGTATAAATATTAAAAAAGAACAACAAAAGCTGCGAACCTGCGCCTAGCAAGGAGAAGGATCCATTGCATTTGTTGCCCTCTGAATTAGTTCGATTTGGCCATTATTGGAATTTGAATCTGAACAGGGCATTTGGATCAGGGCAGGAGTTAAGAGCCAGGATCCAGAATCAGTTAACTACACATCGAATCGAATATCGAGCGATCATAATGTCGGCAGGAAGAGCCCAAGAAGAGCAGCTACCGGCCACGAGTGCCATTCGTGTTCACAAAGATCCGCGCAACCTGCGCGATCATCTCAAGGAACAGTTGGAGGAACAGGCTCAGCAGATGCGACTCGAGGAAGAGCAGGAGAAACAGCAAGCCCTGGCGATTGCCCAGCAACAGGCTCAGCAGCCGGACCAGCAGCCGGACCAGCCCCAAGGTCAACCACAAGGCCAACAAGCGGAGCAACAACCGATCCCAGCACACGGCCCAGCCGGTCCCGGGGAACGCCAGCCAGCCTGGTGGAATATGGAGCGTGACCTGGATGCAGGTCTCAAGGAGCTGCAGCGCATCGTTGACCTCTTGACCCCTCCACCCTCCAACGTGGACACTCATTTCCTCGTGGCACAGCCACTTCTACCGGCTCTGCCACCTGCCGAGGACGAACCCGCTGCCGAGCAACCGGTTCAACCACCACCACCCCCAGCACAGCAGCTGCCGCCCCCTCCCCAGCTCATAGGCGGGGGCTTCGATGAGCTGCCAGTGGGCGTGGCAGCCAGTTCGAGGAACGCCACCCATCGCATCTACAACCCGATCATAAATCCCATTCCAATTCCGCAGCAGCCGCAGGCGCCGGCTCAGGGCCAGGAACTGGTGCCGCACGTGTCTCTGGAGACGGCATCCGACGAGGAGGAAGAGGAGCAGTGGGCTCTCACGGCTGTGGAAACGGAGACGCGTCTCGAGGCCAGCAAGTTCTTCAACCTGATGCTGGCCAAGCTCCTGAGACGCCGCAAGGCTGAAGTCTTTGATCTTCACACCCTGGTGCGACGCTACCAGGATTATGTGAGTTTTGTGAATCTTTTAAGGGGTTTTGGTTCTAGGAACGGGGCTTTGGGAAACAAAAGATAAAGCATGCTTTTTAGACTATTTTCGATATTGAAACTAAAGGAAGTAAAGGACAAAGCATGCTTTTTATAGAAATTGGTGAATCTATTCCATATATCACAGCACATAATTTTAGAAACTAAGATTAAGGAAATACACGAAAAAGCATGCTTTTAAGGGTATCTTAGCTAAAGAAACTATAATAGCTCTAGAAAATAAAGAAGAAAGCAATGCAATATCCTTTCTAATTAAACCACAATTCTCCTCCTTTAAGGCCCTCCGGACGCACACTGAGCTGGTCTCCCGAAACCAGGTCTGCCACACTGAACAGAAACGGACCGAGCACCTCACCGTTCAACTGATGGGTGCTCTTAACCGGGTCCGTGTCTACATGGACAACTGCACCTCAATCGGCAACGAGCTTAAGGCACTCAAGAAGCGCGAGAGGGTCCTCCGCAAGGACCTCAGTGCCAAGACGACGGAGTGCGAATACTTTTCCGAGATGCTGGACAACTGCCGAACGGAGATGTTCCGCGAATTGGCCAGATACCGGGAGGGGGCCAGCGAGCTGGCCAACCAGCAGCGTCGCGCCTTCGAGCTGGAGCGCCTAAATGCCCAACTGGAGGATGAACTGCTAACCATCAAGGATCGATTCCTGCAGCAGAACGATCAAATGTCCGTGGCCCTGGGCGCCAAACAGGAGCAACTAGATACGGCCTATGAAACATTGAAACATTGCGAGCAGGAGTTGGCCAACTTGGAATTGTAAGTCTTCCATTGGGGGTTAGGGGTATAGTTATGACTAATAAGGGAAGTCAGTTTTGGGGTCTGTTATGGGGTTTCCTAGGCAACTAATTAAGTGGCTTTAGGAGATAGATGGAGCTATGTTCAAAAGAGCACTATTCCCATAGTTTCAAAGCTATTGATCTCAAACTTGGCAGAGCCTTTTCTTATATATTTACCCTAAAAATAACTAAAAAAGGACTCAATAGCCCAACTATGTATACCTAACCGGCCTTAAATCCTCTACAACTGCATTCCCATAATATTCCATTTTTTTAAACCAAGACTTGATTCAGTCACCATTGGCAGGGAATAACTTTTATTTATGCCTAAAATAACCACCTTCAGTCTATTTAGTTAAGCCTTTTTTGTGTTGTATTTGGCAGGAAACACAACGAAGTGCTCCGCCTCAACGAGATCGATGCGGAACTGCAGGCAGAGATCACGGAACTGAAGCGTAACATGGGACTGTCCCGCTATTTGCTATTCTACCTGTCCGCCCGCAACTGGGGCTCCTTCCACGTGTGCATGTACCACGTGGTGGCCGGATCCATGGACTGTTTAGTACCCGCCTTCACTGCCCCGCCCATGACCGACAATTTGGTGCGATTGGCGTTCGCTGTTGTTTTCCTGTTGGCCGCCATGTATTGATGATGCCCGACAACAACAAAAACATCAACCAAAACAAAAACAAACAAAAATCTGATGTCAGGATACAAAAAAGCTGGGCGGTAACAACAATAACAACAACAACAAGGATAACAACAAGGACGATGACGTGCATATGTGGGCATGAAGAGCGATATATATAGTTCATTTCGGGTAGAATATTTTTGGGCGATATTTGGGCGGTGCTTGGGGTTTGTGAGATTTCCGTAAAGCTCGACAGTAAATTTTTGTCGCTTTTCGTTATTTTCTTTGTCACTGGAATTGCCAGAAAAATCTCCCCTAGCTTCAAATTATAAAGATTAAATTAACAAAAAAAAAAGTAATAAAGACAAAACTATTCAACAATTCAATAATTTATTTATTTATTTAAGGGAATCTAACTATTAAATCGGTAGAACAAGGTTAAGTTTTGCTGATAAAATGGAGTTACTAAGGGTTAAGCTTTCATTTAAATTTTAAATATTAAACTAAACAGTTTCCCATTAAAAATGTATGGAAAATAAAGGTGGGAACATGGCTGACGACTCTTAAAGAGAAAGATGCTCTGATAACAAAAAAAGGTTTAATAATTTAGTTCCTGGACGACTTCCCCGGGATTTGAGGAGCTCAAACTCAAAACTTAATAGGTAGTAAGTACTACTACTAATACTAAAAGGTAGTATAGTATTACGTATATAAGATAGTCTCGTCGACAAAATGTAGTCCCTTAACCTGGGTCTTCAAATAATAACTCCAAGTCTGAAAGCAATAAACAAAGAAACCATTTTTGTAAATTCTTTTAATGTACAAATAAAAAAATAATTTCTTAACTTTTTATATTTTTTACAATAAAAAAAACCTTAGACTGTTCCTAGGGTTTCATTTGTTCTTCAATAATGAAAAGACATAATTTTCTCTATGAAGTGATGTTACTCATCTTAATATGGAGAATACCCCATATGGTTCTTTAATATAATATAATGAACCATAAAAATTCTTTTCAATTCGAGTGTTTTTAACAATAATTTTTATATATAAATGTTGATTTAAAATATTATATATTTTAAATATTTGTGCCTCCTACTGCAATGTTTTTTTTATAATAATATATGTGTATCAAAGTTATGCTAATTTGCTTTGTTGCTCCCATTTTAGACCAACACTCAACTCCTCCAATGAGTTTGCAACAAATATTTGAAAAATTCTTATTTTTTACACACAGTAAAGGTTAAAACTGTATTTAAAATTCACTTTACAACACTGAATGTTAGCAAACAAACAAACCAATGATATGTCAACTGCCTTGAATCATGACCCTGCGTTTTGTCTATTTGCTTAACCCTTTGATGAACCCCTTTTAGTTTTCCAACTCAATTATTCGATTTCAGGTTTAAAGATTTCTGAAGAGAAACAAAAACCCTAAAGAACCCAACCGTTTTTACGATGAATTTCTCACAAAGAAGTAATGTGTGATTAAGAATTTAATCAAGTATACATTTATTTGATGCGAGTATGAAGAATTCCGAAAGAAAAGAAGTAGAAATGAAAATCAAATCAAGTGTATTTCTGTGAAAATTCTATAGCTATAAACAAATTGTAAACAGCAAAATACCCAGAAATCACTTAATACTGTGAGGCTGTGTTAATAAAAACACACTAGTACGATTAAGAAATCAAGCTGGGGATAAAGATTTAATATCTCGAATTTTATAATGGCTCTATTGTAAGTCATATTGGCTTGTGCCGTGATTGCGTTGAAAATTACGCATACGCCGCGTTGTACACTTGGACGGTTCCCATTCAGAGTGTGCTGCTGCTCTGGTGTGCTGGAATTGGCTTCAACTCAATCGAGGTGAACTGAGCCGGTCGGTCGGTGGGTCGAATAAAAGGCCTCGTCGAATTGACGGCATTAACTCGATTAATGCATAATACAATGCGAACCATAATTGTCGCAATGCGAATGGGAATGGAAATGGAAATGGATGGTGGAAATCGACATGGAAATGAAAGTCACTCCATTCGGGGCTAATGTAGATAGACAGGTTGGCTGATATATATAATCTATTGGCTGACCATACTGACCGACCGCAGTACACCCCAGCGCCACTTTAATTAAACAAAATAATCGGTAATTGGGAATGTAACCCAATATGTCAGGTGTACATGCCACCTGCAACTTGAATATCTTTTATAAACAATCTATATATCCACAGAGTGAGTTGTTTTTTATTTTTTTTTTATCATAGATCCCTTGTAATCCTCAACGATTTTCGATAATTTATGATAATTCGAGTTTATTTATTGCATACAACACCATAAATTGTTGCCAAGCGATACACGAGCGATATTTTCTAGCCATTATCTATTACAAAATATGGTCTGGGGATAAAGATCAGGGTATCGCCAGGGTCAGGGTATACTATTCTCCAAATACTGCTTCTCGAGTGTTTCTCTAAAAATATCTTTTATTGATTTTTGGATTTTAATCAATATACAATAGTATAGCTGGGCGTGTTTTTTACTTACGTTTTTTTTTTTAAATTAATTTCCCTCTCTTTGTTTTTTTGTTTGTTTGTTATTGTTTTCTCTTTGCTTTTGTTTGTTTTTCCGCGCCTGGCGATCCAAGTTTGAGAAGCACTGGCCGAGTGTGACTAAACTTTGAGCAGCTCTGCTCGATCGCCAATTCTCTCGTTAATTCGCCCCCCCACTCTCTGGCCTCTCTCTTAACAGGTGACACCTGATTGTTGTTGTTGTTTTTCTTTTCGCTCACTTTCTTAATAACTCACTGCAAAAAAAAAATAAATAATATAAAAAAACACTGGGATTTTCTTAGCTGGCAGCAATTTTCACAATGTAATCACAGAAAATACAATGGAAAATGGAAAATGCTGGCCAGAGACAATGGCAAAAAAAAAAAAAAAAATCCCCAACCTGTGCGGCAAGCAAAACCGAAACCGAAACCAAAACCGAAACACGTTGCTCCGTACCGTGGCGTGCCGCCCACCGCCGCCGCCGCCCCCTTTCGCGGTGCTGTGCGTCCTCTCTCCCGCGCTCTCCCCGGTCCGCCTTCACTTGGCTCCACTGTTTATCGCAACGGCGGCTAACGGAAAAGCTTCGCGGGCTTCTGCTGACCAACTGAGAAAGGAGAACGCCGAACGGCCCCCTAAGAACACCGAACGGAGCACGGAGAGCCCAGAATGGTGTTTATCGGAGTACAGTGATCGCACTCTTGCAAGGACTCGATCTTAATCAGGGTTGATGGGCTTATTAATGCAATTTTCAAGATCATGAAATGAAAAAAATGAAAAGTAATGAGAATTTATCATGAAAAACACTATAATGGTTTAATATCAAAAGTTCAAATAACAGGAAATATTTTTAATTTCACAATTTTAAGTTAAGTTATAAAGTTTTTACATTTTCTAGTGAAAAATACAAAGAATATTTACTTAATTTTTGACTAAAAGTCCACCGAACTATAACGAAATGGTAAACTTCCAATATTACCTATTTTTTATGTCAAAATTTTGCAGATAAATCCTTTAATTTATATGTTTTTAATTCCTTATTTTCCTTAAAAATTAGTCTTCAAACATTAGAAAAACTTTCAAGTATTATTATAGCCAGTAATGAAGTTATAAATGAAAAATTACCCAAATTTAAAATTGAAGTAATAATGTACATTTTATAACGCTATTTATATAATATAGTTAATTGTTAATATATATATTATGTATTAAAACACAGAATTTATTATTTTGAATTTAAAGCCTCTTACCCTATCTCTAGGGAAAAAATCCCTATCTTGCTTAGGGAAGGATCACTGTACTGTTCAAACGAAAACGAAAACAATGCCGTTCGCCACTCTCGGCACTGCTCTCTCTTGCATTCTTCCCCGCTCTCTTTAGATGTGCGTGGGTGCTGATCGTGTGTGTTGGTGAGAGAGCGAGTGCAAATATGATTATTGTTCTTTGGCTGACCCCCTCCTTATACCGCCCCCTGCCCCCTGATACCCCACCCCCTTTAATGGCCACTGAATGTGCGTGTCTATGAATATATTCATGTACATGTGTGTCGGTGTATGTGTGTGTGTGTGCGGATTAATGTAATGCCGCACGGTTTTGTTTGTTGTTGTAGCTTTATTGCACAATCCGATCCCAGAGCCCCAGTCCCCCACTGCACCCCCCTTCTCTGGGGCTTTGGCAAACAAACAAAGGGAAATGGCAGAAGGAGAAAAAAAAAAATACAACCACCGATCGCGCACACTTGCCGTGCACCCAGAAACTTCAGCAGAGCGCCAAATTGCACTACAGTGAGCTCCAGCTAATTGATTACGGTCAGAAAATTGTGAGGTAATCGCATTTTGTTAGCAAGCCGCTAGAAACAGCTGCGTATTTAGGCCCTAAAGTGCTTTTTAAAAAAATATCACGTATACGTAATGTGTGCTCGTAATGCAAAAAAAAAAAAAAATACTATAAATTATATAAATTAGTTAAAAAGTGAGTACTTAGTATTTGGGGGCCAAATTTTGTGGGCAACCATTTTTTGTTGCGGTGCTGCAGTCGGCGTCGCTGCCGACGTCAGGTGGAAACAAGTGTCCGATGCGCGTGCAAGCAGCATGGGGCTATGGGGCTATGGGGCAGGTGGGGGTGTGCGAGCGCGAGGGAGCGAGAAACGGTGCGTGTGTAAATTTTCAGTGCTTCAGTTTTTATGTGTGTTCTCTTTACCTCCCCATCCACCCACATCATGCCCCCATACCACCCCCCCACCCACTTTATGCCTTCGTGTCTGCCTCGCAAGTAAATTTCTTCTAATTTAATATTTTGTTTACATTATTTATTCATTTACTTATGTATTTGCGTAGCTTCCTCTTCGCGTACTCGTTTGTTTATGTATTTTACCTGCCTCCCCCTGCTCCGCCGCCTCCCTCTCCCGGTCTGTCTGCTGCCCCTCCCTTGCCATCCGGTTTTTGGCCAAAATATGGAGGATTTCGACCAAGATCAGCCTTTTAAAAATATTGACAAGTACGAACATTTTTATTTGCTTCCATTTTCCAGTAATTATTTGGGTCAACAATAAAAGGAGAAAAAAATTGGATAAAAAGGATTCTGTTTTGTTGGGGATTTTAGAACCCGAGGCTTAAGATACATTCTTTAAAATAACCATTTTTATTATTCTTATAGATAATGCTAGTTATTTATTAAAATTTTACCAAATAACAAAAAAAATGACTAAAATACTTGATATTTTCTTAAAGATAAGAGTCCTAATTTCCCTAAAAAATATGGATAAAAATAAGAATTCCATTTAAGGAGTTTATAACTCAAGACTTTATCTATAACTTTGACTTAAACTTATTTAAGTTATAGTTATTCTTTAATATTAATAACTAAACTAATCATAATTCAAATAAACTATCCAAAACATGATGACTTTTTTATGATTTTGGGCTTCTAGATACATAAAAATTATTTTAATAAACTACTTAAATAATAGTTTTTTAATTGTATTCAATTTCTAATTTAATTCATTTTTGAGCTTAGATATTGAGATTATTATTATCCTTAATCCTTATATGTATCTACTCTACTACTTATATCCTTTTTATTCTTATATTAGATATCAAATCCTTATCTAATCTATATCTCTACCTAGAGAGAAGGTAATAGGTGTTTGCTGTTATTTTAATATTGTTTATATATTTTATTCTGTTATTTATTCTTTTCTTGTATTCCTTATTCCTTATTAATTGCCTTATTTTCCTTATGTTATATACATATGTACATATTTTATTTATTTCTCCATATTTTTATTAGAAATGTTTAGTGGATTTTAAGGACTATATATCTGTTTTTGTGGCTTTCTTGAACAAGTTTATATAATTTAAGTTTAAAAATTAATTTTAAGTTAAACTAATATATATATTCCTCCACACTTTTACCAAAAACTAAGACTAATCTAGTCTTTATTTAAGAGGTTTATATGATTAAGACCAATCTGAATGATTTTTCTTAAATTAGTTAAGGTTCTTCTTCTATAATTATTAAGGAAATTGTAACAAAATTAGCCAATTCTATTAGTTATCCTCTCTTACACCTCATACCCTACATTTAAACCCATTACTACCATCATACCTAACAAAAAACAACCAAAATCACCAAATTTTTCCTCATTTCAGACAGCAAGATGTTCCTGAATTATCCTGGCAGGATGTCATTTGAAGTTGGGCGCCCAAAAGCGTGCTTTAAGATTATTCCATTTCAGCAACCCCTCCTCGCAGGCACACACACACGCACAAATACCCATGCAAAGATGAGAGGACTTCGATTGCAGTTAGGAATTCTGCATTTAAGGATTTATTTGTGAGGCTCTCTTACCTTTTCTGCTTCTTGCTCTTGGGCTCCCACCCCTCGTTTTCGCCTCCTGGCTGGCTGGCTCCTTCACGTGTGTGTTTTGTGATTTAAATTCTGTTTTGTTGATTTGTTTATGGCTGGCTCTCTCTCTCTTTCTCTTTCTCTGTGTGTGTGTTTGTGTTTTTATTTTATTTTTTTTTTAACTTTTTTTTTTGTTTTGGTTTTGCACTTTAATTTACACCGCTATGTAAATAACAACAAAAACACATTCAAAAAAAAATACCAAAAAATATATTCATATTTTGGATTGCACGCGCGTTAATATTGTTTCTTAATTATTTTAGAATTTTTAAAGTTAAATCTTAATAAAAACAAATTCATAAAAAAAAACAAAAAGGAAAACAAAAGCGCTGCACTAGCAAGGAGGTTCCCGATTTGCAAAAAAAAAAAAACACAAAAAAGCGCGTGCGGCGCTGATTTTTGCAAACTTTTTTTTTTACGAAACTTGCGCTTTTTGTTTTGATTTTTGTTTGTTGTCCAATTGCCACCCACGGGGGCCACGGGGGTCGTGTCACCTCTATGGCGATGGTGTTATAAGAGGGAGTTACTGCTTTTTGGGGTTTTTGGATATTGGGCTTCTTCTGGTCTTAGTTGACTGTTTATTGTTTTGTTCTTCGGGGTTATCTGTTTTCTGGTCCGCAGCGGGTGAAAGTTCGCGTCCGCCTTGCACGAGTTTCGCTGCCAGAATGCGAATCTGAAATGGCCAGAGTGACCGTTCGCAGGAGCATGGCCGTATTCCACCCGCTTTGCTTTTGATACCCTTTCCAAAGGATACTTATATTATTTGGTATTTGAGGAAAATATCTTTAAAAAAATTTAAAATAAAAACTGAAATTGTACTCTATATTGATTGTAGAACTCTATTCTAAAAGTGATTTAAATAGAAAAATTATTTAAGCTAAACTTTATTATCAAGTATTAAATAATTAACTAAATAACTTAAACATAAACATTTATTTTTAATTATTAACTGAAAGCGCATTACATCTTCGGCTTGATTACAAATTAGCTTTTATTTCTTATGTTTTTTATTGTGCTTTTGCTTTGGCGTTACTTTTGAACAGCTGCTGTGCTCTATCTTGCCCGCTCTATAACGCGCTCTCTCACTCCCTTACGACTGAAAGCTTTTGCCAGACAGTGGTGTCCTGCAGAAATGGGAATAGCTTTTGAATAATATGTATTATTTTAATTTTAATATCTTATTATAAAATTTATTAAAATGTATAAAATATTTAACCAAAAAAACTTAAAAAATTTGTAATATTTACCCTCACCCTCACATAATTCTACCACATTATCCTTAAGCCAGGACTCTTTTGGTGGCTTTTACTGTTCTCCAGGCATTTGTTTTTGTTTGGCTTCGGAAAGTTGATGCTGCGCAAAGCTTTTGAGATTTTGACCCAGGCTGCAGGACCTCCGAAAACAGAGAGAAACAGTGAGAGAGAGAAATATACTGAACGAGAGCTTTAAGAGCAGTGTTGGCTAAGAGCAAAAGCCAGTCAGCAATCCTTGCACAGCTGCTCAGCGAAAATGCAAAAAATAAAAGCCAGCGACGTTTCATTGGCCAATTGGCGTCATTGTTTAAGGTTATGTAGTCTTGGCCTGACCCTGACAATGAGTCCTTTCGCCCTCCCACCCACCGAACGCCCTTAGCCACCTTATCTTCGCCTGAACTTGACAGGACGTGTTATTTAATTTAATTTGTGGCAGCTTTTGAAAGCGGAAGCGGAAAAAGGTTTCAAGTGGAACTTCAAAATCTAATTAGGGGGGGTTTATTAAAGACAAATAGATATACAAATATTTTAAAAATAAAATACAAATACATTTTAAACAGTCTTTTATTAAATATACTTATAAAATTTGCAATTTTTTTTTTTTTTTAGATAGTTGCTTTTATTTTTCCATTTAGAGTCTTAAATATTTTATTTATAATTTTCAGCCCTGTTTTATCTAAAGTCTGTGGTCTTTCCTTGATATAGATCAGAGGTCGGCACGGCCCTATCTCGGGGGCATAGGAAATTTCTCTGCCCGAGCTCTGCCACACACACACAGTATACATGTGTGAAACGTCATGCACACAGCCTACTTTCTGCTATTCGTTACTAACACTAATGCGGTAAAATCATATCAATGTATTGGGGTGCCGATCCCTGATATAGATGCTATTTGAAGTCATTCCCTATTTTGGCCACAGTATTTAAATTACGCGCCATAAAAAGCTTTCGTCTGCGACCATCTGGCAACACTAGTTTTCTTAACTGGCCAAAGATGTTTTCAAATGTAATTTTTTTGTCATTTCTTTTCGATTTTCTTTAACCTTAAAAGAAAATAAATATTATATATTATAAAATAAACATTATTTTCCAAGTATATCCCAACTAATAGGCTTTGTATATTATTATTAGCGGGGTATTTTAAGCAAAGCAGTGTTCTAAAGCCAAAAATTAAGTGTTTGACAACAACATCCATTTCACAGGGTGATTATGGCCATAACGGAAATGCTAGCGGTTGCCAGATAATAAGAAAAAGGTAGGAGTTTTGGAGTTTTGGAGTTCATTATAGAATTTATGTTTTTCTATATTTATTTTTACCCATGTATACATAAAAGATTTAAATATTAAGGCTCTGATTTCGTTTTCATTAAAAAAATGTAACTATTAAGAAAAAAACGTTAGCATTAGTGTCGTTGTCGTTAGTCTGTTTTTATTATAGGGTATTATCGTTGTTTTTAATTATTTTAGATGTATTACTTTGTGAGTTTTTATTAAAATAGTATTTGTCGTTGAAAAATGGGCTATTTCGGCTCTATATCTTAGTTTATTTATCTGGCAACGCTATTTTTTAAAAAATTCCGCCAAGTAGAGAGTACTTCTTTAGTGTGACCAAATTATTCGGCTGGTTACACTAAATCGCGGAAAAACATAGTGCCTCCTACTATAATATCCCCACTGCTCGACCGGATCGGACGGCGCGTTGTCGGTGGCGGGTCGAAAAGTGGTTTGAAATTTGAAAAGAGCGGAGGAACTGTCGCGTGAAACTTTTAATTGAAAAAAGGCGGTTGCCGTCGTGGTTGTTTATATATTTTGAGCGCGAAAATCTTAAGCCGTTTCGTCCGATTTTAAAGATATATCTTTTTTTTTGGTGTGACATGGTTCTTGATTTTTTTTGGAGTGCGTGAAGTGGGAGTTGTGTGACACAACAAAAACAACGAGGCCAATTTATGTGAAGCATCTCGCATACACACATATAAGTACATAAATAAAAGCGCGTATATATATATATTTGGGAGTCGTGATTTTTGTCGTCGTCGATTTTAAAAATAATACACCAAAATAAAATATATATATACACACACACACACAGACAAGTGCAGTAAAGTTTCTGGTTTCGTCGCGTTAACAACAACAACAACAACTCCAATATGCCGGCCTTCAGCGAAGAATATTAACAAAAACAACAATAATACTACAGAAAAAAAACAACAAAAACAATTTTTGTTAATAAATCTGAGCCGGAGTTTTGTTGCCGCCTCCCGCAACCCCGCCTCTCTCGCGCTCTGGCCCTCTCTCAAATGGCTCTCAGCTGTTGGGCATAAATAGGGCCAACAAACACAACATCAACAAACAACAACAACAATTGTAAGATAATCATCGGTAAATCGGCAAACATAAGTAAGAGAGGAGAGAAGAGGTGGGTGAGGTGGTGCGGTGGAGAGAGCGAGGGCAGAGATGGAGAATAAAGCACGGGTTCGTGCGTGGAAACAAAGAGCGGAATCAAAATCAACGTAAAAATCAAAATCAAAAAAACAAAAACAAAACAAATATTAAAGAAAACAACAACAACCTGCTCTTGGTCTTGAATCGAAGGAAATATAACGATTTTTGGAGCCTCGACAAGTCGTCTCGGATTTTTATTTGTTTTGCTTTAATCTTTTGTTTTACAAGTGCAATAAAAAATAAAACAAAAACAAAACACCAACAACCTGCCACAAAATCAATATTCAAATTAAGCAGCCAAAACAACAACAACAACAACAGCAAGAGGAACTGCAACAACAACCACTCGTCGAGTCGATAAGCCCGCAGATAAGTGAGAGAACGAGTACGGTAGAGAAATAACGGTAAAAGGGGGAAGGAAAAAAAAAGGAGCAAGTGGGTGCACACAATCGACCCCAAACCCAAAAAGGGAGAGACCAAGAGAGAAAGCAGCCACCCATCAACCATAAGAGAGAGTCTGCAGGAGAGAGTTCTCGCAGCATCCACGCGTATAACGAGATACATATACATACATACATATATAAGTATATAGCCACCACCCCCTCTCATCGTCATCATCATGGGACGTCGCGCATATCTGAGCCGGGCTTCTTCCATTTCCTACCCCAGCCGAATCGAAGGATGGCTGGATGTATGCGGTAAGTCTGTCCCCCTGTCCCCAGAAATGGACATAATAAGGGTATTATTGTCACAAATGGGTAATATTAGTAGAGCTGCATAATCCAAGCATCTAGTAAAGAAGGACTTGATGGGCTTAAGGTTTTCCCAGGACTTTAAGAGGACCAGGTCTCAGGAGAATCAATAGATGGAATAGAAGAGAATATCATACAAATAGATATATAGATTAAATATTAGATTGATTTGGTTATTTCCTCAATTTTGGAGCTTAAGTCTGGAGGATAAAGAGTTCATAGAAATCCAACTGATGTGGGTTGATCTTATAAAGTAACCTTATAACCTTTAGTACTCAGAACAAATAAGAATTCACATAAATAAAACAGCTTGTTTTTAAATATTTTAAAAAGAAAAGTATCCATAAATTATAGAAAAATAATAGAAATCCATAAATAAAGAAGTAATACTCATCAATGTTCCAAATGTACCTATAAGTATTATAGCTGTACCTAGAAATCTAATAAATATAATTACGTTATATTAGGAAACATAAGTACAAATCAGATAAATATTAATAAAAGAAAGGTAAAAGTTCTTAAAAGTATGAATGAAATATATTCATATGTATAGTATTATAAAGAATACAATATGAATATGTGTATGTACAAATATCCCTATATTAGATCACTAATATACATAAGAGTTCATCAATTAATATTCAAGTTAAGGTAAAAATTTAATTGAAAAATCTCAAGTTTATTTTATAATAATCACTAAATTTAAGTCAAAATCCAGATCCAAATCCAAAATATTTATCAATCTTTATAGATATATTCTCTATAGATAATAAACAATATCAGCCCCAAAAGAACAAGAGCTTCTACAATAATATTATATCAATATTAATACGTCCCCAAGCAAAATTAAAACTTAATAGAAATTACTCGAAAATAGTTGAAAGTTGGTAGTTGAAATAGTCTGTCTTAAGTTGAAACAATACAAAATAGTAACATTAAACTATAAACAATATTAAATAGAGTTTAATGAACTAGCGATTAGAATCACCATAATACAATACATATTTTAATTCCTAACCAAAATAAAATCAGTTCTATAGAACACAAATGATTTCATGGATACCATACCACCCATACTATTTTATAATCGTATCAAAATCTAAGTTATGGGAGCAATAACCCAAAAGTCAACAATTATTCAACGCCCTAATGGGGGTTCCATTAAAATTAAATGTCAAACAAGCACGTTCCGAAATTCAGTTTCTCCGAT